GGGGGGTGCGTGCAAGACCCCCGGAGAAAAAGGCCCCCGGCGTGTCCTGCCCCGGCCCCCGCCGCACGGTGCCGGGGAGGGGCTCTCCGCTGCCCCCCCCGGTCCACGGAGTAGCCCCGGGAGCTCCCGACACCGGGAAAAGGCAAAGATCTGTCTGTCTGTCTGTCTGTGTGTGTGTGTGTATGCAGGCGTCCCGTCTGCGTGTGCGCATACATGCAGGCATGCAGTATTTGTGGTGGCTTCCCTCTTTTTAAATAAACACAGGCCCCGTCAGGACTGGTTTGTGATGGGAACAGAGCACTTAGCGCAGCGCGGAGGTCTCGTTTCTGAATTGGCCTAAAAGCATGGCGGAAGAAAAGTGTCTCTTATGGCTCTTTGGATGTTTCAGCGATGGAAAGTACCTCCTTGAAGGCAGAATTATGTGATTTAACAACCAAAGGTTGTACAAAAACAATCAGCATAAGAGCCAAAGCCACAGATTTGGTCTATCCTAAAGCAAACCACTGCTGCTCAGCACAGCTCTTCAATCCCCGGGCACAGTGTCCGGCGCCCTCGGAGCCTCTGCTCCCTGCCCAGGCTGAAGTCGTGTTCGCTGTCGTGTTCATGGGCATGGGCTCAAGGACAGGACCGGGGCTGGGATGGGTGACAGGACCAGGGACGAGTGGGACGGCCACAGCGTGGGCCGCAAGCAGTCTCGATAATGAACATTTGGTCAGGGGTTAGCGAGCGGCCAAAGGACGCGCTGTGAAAACAAGCCGAGACGGGAGGAGGTACAGCTGGGTTGCTGGCTTGTTTGGAGGGAGGACGGCGCCAGGGAGGGCTTTGCGTTTGCTTCCCATTTCCTTGGGAGCTAGCAAGAGCCCTTTTGTCGCCAGTACAGATCACGAGTGCTGCAAGGGCTCAGGCACCGGTGGTTGTGCAGGGCGGGCAGAGGCTGGGCCGTGGGGAGCGGGGCTGGAGTGTTTGGCTGCAGCCCAGCACACAGCTCTAGACCCACAGGTACCACCACAGCTCCATGTGGGACTGGCCCTCAGCTCAGAGCCCATCCAAGCCATCTGCCCAGGAACCCTAATACAAATTGGGGCCCGCTGGACCAGCTCCTCCCTTCCCCACCAGCAGCCAATTGCTCCTTTAATTGCGTTAGTTCACATACTCTGCTTCAGCCTTTTTATAGTCTCACTGAGTGCAAGGGGAGTATGAGCTCATGCTCTGACCTTCTTTAATTGCCTGGTTACCTCTGAAATGAGCCCAAGAAATTACTTTGGCTCATAAGGCACCGGGGCTGGATGAGGAGGGAGGCAGTGTGGCTGACTGGGTCCCGTGCCAGTAGGTAGGATCCCTCTGTGGCACTGGTGAGCAGGAGGGGAAGGATGTGAAGCCAAAACCAGTGGGATATGGCACCCTGCAGTGCCCAAGGGCAGCAGCTCCCAGTCTGGGTCCTGGGGTGCTCTTATCAGCTGCACTAAACCAGCCCACCCTGCCAATGCACGCAGCGTGGCTGGATCCAGCCCTACATCCCTGGAGCACCCCAAAGCAGCTCCCTGTGCCCTCCTGCTGCCCTGAGGCACCAAGGCTTGGAGGTGGGAGCGGGGTTGCTGGGGACCAAGTCTGCCCAGCAAAAGGCAGAGTTCCCGGGTGCCCCTGCCACCCTGGGGCCCCTGACCCCATGAGCTCAACCTCTTCTTTTGCTCCCTTTCTCCATGTCCTGTTTGTCCCGAGCAGCTGCTGGGACAGGCTGCATGTGGCCTCCTGCCCTGCCCCTCCATCGGCACAGAGCCACCATTCAGATCCCCCCAGGCTCTGCCCGAGGTCACCATTCCTGCATTTTTATTTTTACTTTTCTGCAAAATCATCCCCCTCAGCTCTCTGCGTCCCCTTTTGTCTCCCATGAGGCTTCCAGACCTCATGTCACAAGCCGGCGTGCTGCGAGAGGAGCCTGCCTGTCTGGGGGCAATGGCAGCCCTCAGCGGGTGGAGAAGACACCCTGGCTGCAGCACTGGTGCCTGGGGGACCCTTGGGATGTCACCGGGATGTTGGGGCGGAGGGAGGGCAAGGGTGGTGAGCCCAGCATTGGGGAGGGTCTCTGGGGCTGAGCTCCTGCTGGGAGCCTCGTCGCTTGTGGCCGTGTCCCTGCACCCAGGGTCCTCATCTGCCGGTTGCAGCTGCTGGCCATGTCCCGCAGGGCTCCTGCTTTTTTAGCTCTCGGGT